CCMAAWWAAATGAAATTTCACTTKAAAAATTGAAAATGATATTACAAAWTTGCGAATAACTTAGTTTGCAAAGTAATAAATTATCATAATTATGTAGCTCGAGCGGGGATAATAAGTATTATAACTCTTCCTTATTGATAACATTTTTTGATTAGCGAAAAAGTGATGTCTACCATAATTTGATATGATTTCGTTGTTGATCTAATAACATTAGATAAATAAGAACCCTTAAGAGAAGTTGAGAATTTTAACAATAATAACTCAATTTTACAATTTCGGCTGTTAAATAACTACTATTGCAGTAAACTTTCTTACAAACTTTCTTACAAATTTTCTTATAAATTATAACAATTGCTTTTGTAGCAAGATGGATCCTGAAGTTTCATATTATTTCACGCCCGGGCCGGGCTTCCTGTGTTTCTGAGGCACACAGGGAGCCCAGTTCGAAAACAACTTGGGTTTTCGTGCCAAATGTGCATTTGTGATTGAGCACTATGTCTTTGTAAATATTTTGAAAGCTTTTACCCGTCATGCCAAGGAATACTCGTGTAGCATTTACCTAAGATTTTTTTTATGCTGCATTCAGACTGAAATGACAGTTCGTGTCAAAAAAAATAACGATTTTTTTTTCACTTTTCGTGCTGAAAAAAATCATTTCTTATCAACGAGACTTGTTGTCAGTTTAGTGCTCCTAACTCATCCCCAGTCGTGCTCTCCCATTTCTCATGCGCGCAAGGCATCAAGGAAGGAAGAAGGAAAAGAAACGTCGTCTCTTTTTTCTTACCATGAATCCTTGCGAGKTAAAATGCGCGCGAAATGACTGRGGACGAATCAGTTTGTATTCTATGACATAAGACACCATACACACAAGCACAACAGCAATCATATGCAAAGACGGAACACATAAGACGATTGCTAAACGTTTGTCTGCTATGAAGAGTCCCACTGGAAGACTACTTCTTTTGTTTAGATTTTTTTTCTCTTTCTACAAGCTATTATATTCTCCATTGAAAACTAATGACTTCACAGGCAAAATAATAAAACATGATCATCCACAGGCAGCCCATCCAATCCTTGGTGCTTGAAGGTCWCGGTTTTTACTTAATACGCAAGACAATGAAGTAGCGAAGGAACAAAAGATCTCATATCTGGTTGCTTTGGCTAATCTTTCGCATACGAACGTCAGTGGCTAAATTCTATGATCTTCAATAGCGAAAATGGATCTTAATTTGCAATTTACAGCGACGCCATTTTGTGCTACAAAGCATGGTGGGAGTTTTACTTCCATTTTTTCAAACACGCTTTTCCCTTTCCTTGCAAAAGATTAGAAGTAGTCCTATCGTTTCTAAATGTAAAACATCTCTAAAAGAGATTTCTATATTACATATATATCATAAAAATACGAAACGAGGGCTATAATTCCCATCATGCTGTGTTGTGCCTAATTGCCAAATGTGTAACTCCGCGCGAAGAAGCTTCTCCTTAAAATCTCAGTTTATTTCCATTCAGCACAAGGAATAGTTAATATATTAGTAATGAAGCCTGAATAGTTATTAACAATAATAAAATAAAAGATTATGAAAAGCAATGTGAAAGAAACAGGTGTGAATTTAATAAAATCATAAAACACACGAATAAATCTAAAAAATTTTAATAGAAAGAAAGTTCAACGTAGCGACTGTACAGTTGGGCGCGTCGTTTCAATTTCCGATAACAAAATAAAAAAATTCGTATATTAAAAATTTGATACATGACGTCTTCAAAAAGGTATGACGTCAYAGAACCTTATGACGTCACAAAAGATTATGGCGTCATAAAAACCATGACGTCACAAATTGCTATGTCATCACCAGCGCATATGACATAAGAATGACATATTTCATTCGGCAAATTATGACGTCATCGTTTTTTGAAAAAGTCGTTGAGTTTGCGAAATGTCAGATTCAGTCCAAGCTAGTATCTAAAGCCTCGTTGTGAAATCGAGGTTAAAAGATTTTTCAAAGACGAAATAAGGACATTTCAGCCGAATTCAGCCACAGTAATCGAACGTTTATAGAAAGGCTGATCAGGGTTAGATTTTGATAACTGCTGACCAAACCGCAGTGAAATCGATATTAACTCTTCAGGAAACTTGACAGAAAATCTGCCACTTCGAAAACTTCCGTTGATTCTTAAACAAAGGAAAAAAATAAAATAGATGAAGTTAGAACCTAAAGTTCAACAAGTTTCCCCCATGTTTGAAAAATCTGAAAAGCTTGTTAGGTTAACATCACATATATATATATATATTTATACTGCATATTTATGACTTTACCCTCGTGAAAATTGTATATCCGAGACCGCAATGAACCCTGGGCTCAACAGCGCAAAGCACCCTGGGTTGGATAGCGTCTTTGGACCGATATCATGGTGCATTGTAGTAAATACTGCCGTTCCTATGACGACAATTACTAAAGGTGTGGATTTGATAGAAAAGATCTTTATGACAACGCCATCACAATATATAGGAACACGGTATTGTCACGTTATGTCACGTGCATAAAATGAGTCACGCTTTCTCGGATAAACAATGATCACATGGGTGCAATACTTAGAGAAATTTTCCATATGATGAAACGTGTAAATTGGCACAAAAGGGTGCTGAAGTTGAATGAAAAAATTGATATACAAATATATTATTGGAAGAATTTGTCCGTCACGCACGTGTCACGCAACATGCTTCACGTCACGGGGACTTGAATTGTGCCCGAAATTATAAATTGCCAATTAACTGGCCATTGCATTAAAAACCATTGCGCTATTATTGATAATTGTTCTAGATTCCCTTCGATCTAATGTTCTCGAACAGATGATCGCAAATTCTTATAAATTTTGATTTCGTCTCATTTCAAAGATTCTACTCGCGGATGTGATGTCTTTCATTATTTTCTTTGGGGATGAATCGTGTGTTATCTTCCATAGCGAAAACGTGATCTTTCTCCATACTACMAGTGTGATTTATTTTGCGGGAAGAAAATGTATTTTAGTTTTGCTGTGGTTCTTGCTAGGAGACCATTCCTGGTTCCTGTTTTTGTTCTGTGATGCAGTGATACTACTAGGTCGTATTGTTTTAAAATAAGGTCGCTACTTAGTTTCCGAGATCGCTGCTTTCATCAGGAGTGTGCAGTGCATAACACTGTATAAATTTTGGTTATGTTTTTTTTCGCTTTCTCTTGGATTAATTTTTTCTTCTAGTGGCATCCAATTACAACGGCAAGATTATTATTGTGCATTATAAAACGTCCTCTTWAGTGTCAAATCATGCCGTAATTTTCAATGTTTCGTCCACTTCGATGCTGTTATTTGTTGTCTGTGAATTTTAAAATTCGCGCGCCCTTTTCAACTGATCCCAATATATCTGGGTGTTCAGGAAGGTCTGTCTGGTAATGAGGGCGCCATATTATATCGTGCTTGCGATTGTTCGCGATATGGTCCAATCAGATTCGATTTCCCTTCGTGTATTTAGAAAAATCTCGGATAATTCAACCCCAGTCGCATGACTAAAGCAKKWAGCTTTAGAAAATRTCACATTTTCAATACGACATTGTAACTCGTAGATATAACGCCGTAACTCGTAGACACGGCGTTTTGCGGTCATTTGGCCAGCTGTATGGAGTTCCGTGGCTACGGTTTCCTTCATTAATAGTGTATAAACTTGTATTACAAATTCGAAGAATTAGAGACAATTCAACCCTTTCATTCATGAATGTTTCAAAGTCGCCAAAGCTGTGACGCAGGAGATCACGTGATCCCCATTGTTCTTAGACAGTTGTCTGGGCAACCGGATTCGGCGGCTCGTCACAGCCATTCACCCCACAAACGAGTATTCCGCGAGAGCTTTTCTCGTCTTTATTTTTCGATCGTTCCATTTTTTCTTGTTGTCGTTTTCTTTCTTCTTCTTCTTTCCTGAGTTGCTCTTCTTTGCGACGGTTGACTTCTTTGTTGTAGAAGTTTTCAAAGTTAGATACAATGACAGGCACGGGGAGAGCGATTGTAAGCACACCTGGAGACGAAATAACGAAATTTAGTTCGCTGAAAAGAGAAAAAAAGAACAAGAAGAAGAAGAACAGGAAATGTGTAACGACGAAATGTTCAAAGCATGGCACGCCACCCCACCCCACCCCCACACACTTTTTTGACAAAAATAATGGTATATAATTATATATATATAAACTTTTTCAATCCTAAAAGGAAATATGACGTGACAAATGGGACTTCTAAATCGGAACCCCTCACTTTTTTAACCSTGCTACGGGYCTGCACGCAKTAAACGGAAAATTTAGTCGACGCGCGTTTTAATGTCGTTTGAAACAAACCGTGATCGTTTGTATGGAAAAACGGTCARCTTATTGTTTTTTTWTRWKA